GTTTTTATGTAGTAATATGATAATAATTATGATATGTATTACTATTATAAAATGGTTGCCATTAGTCATAAATTACTGCATAGAAAATCATTAGCATTTTGCATTACATTCTGAATTACATAGAATCATTGACTTTCCAATTAATTAATACACTGCATGCAATATACATAAGACCAGGTTCTATACTAAAATACGTTGATGATCGAAACGACCGTCTGGCGTGCGTTTATTGTATATTATGTGGTTTTATATAAACACAAACACGAAATATTCGGTATACTTATATATTTAGTTATCCCATACTTATCTGCATAATATTATTAATCCAATCTAACCAACATCACTGCTTTAATGAGTGAAATACAACGCTGCATAATAATATATTCATTATATCAATATAACAGCGGTTTCTTCTGGTCACCGTTACATAAACGACAAATTAATACACTGTAAAAATATAATACATAGACGACTTATTTACTTAAATATTTCTGACACGCGAATGTTATAAACACACAATTTTATGAGTATCTGTCAACATAAAGTCTTGTCAAATATGCATCCAACGCGGGTACCTAAATAATATAGATAACTGTACACTAATGAGGTTGTTAAAAATTGTGGAAATCTTGATTAAACGACAAACCCGCTTTAAAATAGTACGCTATTATATTATATTATATATTATATAAATAAATATATATATATATATTTCAGACAGTAAAAGTAATTTAGAATATCACCACCAACATCTTATAGTGGTTTACCATCAGCTGTGTGGCACGAATACATATAACACACAATAATAATATTAATAATGACAAGAAAACTTATGTGACCTCAATTTATTTTTAAATTTACGAATCGAAAAGATTCTTGCAGTATGTTTAGAATGAACATGGCAGTGGACTGCCATGTAGTCGCGTAAATCATTTATTCTGGTAATAATCATCGTAGAAATTAGCTGATCCAGTAAAAATAATTAAACTCGCACATAGTTTATATATTACTTTTAAAGGTATGTATACAAAACTCAACGGTTGTACATTATAGACATCTATCATAAACGTTTATGATTTAAATGAGTGTACATCAACTGGGAAAATTAACAAGCCACGCGTACATTATTATATTCGCGTGACGCAATATAACAACGGCGTTATGTTGGTGGTTAACAGTATAATAAATTATTAATATTATTATTTAAAGTGTACATTATTATTACACATCACCACGTGCCGTTTGGCGTGATGTCGATGCGACGATATTTAATAGTGGTACATATATACATATACAAAGTATAAATATTAAATGCTGCGATGAAAACGTGATGATCGTGACGTATATTATAAATAAAATAGCCGGAAATGAGCTGAAAAATTTTCACTTTATCGCACACGTATAAATAATCATCTATCGCATATAAACTGTAGTATTTTTAAATTTTTGGCGCTTACGCGTTTTTCGATATTAACCGAATAACGTTTGCCAGCGTATTATATATCTCGCACACGTATTATATATATATATATATTATGACAAGCGATATGCGATGATGTGTGTGTTTACATGTATATAATATATTAAACGATTATTATGAGCCATTGAAATTATACAACACGGTGGACCAGTTATCTAAATGTATATAAAAATATGTGTCTCATGTGTGCCAGTAATGATATTTTTCACATAATAAATATTATAATACAAAAATATTGGCAGGCATAGGTACATTTATTATAAAGTTTTTGTTTTATCAACGGAACCGCCGGAGGTGGATTAAACGTTTTCGATACCTACGGAGACTTAAACGCTGGTAACGCCAAAATATTACGTACAATTGATTTATCTGGCGGGTTGTGTGCGGTCCGACAGCGAAAATAAATGCGTTCTGAAAGACGAGACGACCGCCACGAAAAATTAACCTGGTGTATTATATATATATATAAATATTTTAACATGTTATATCTACCACTGACTGGTTTGCGTTGTTCACCCCATTGATGTACACGGTTGGCGGCGATTTCGAATCATAACCCTTTTCGCGCACAATATACGTTATATATTATGTATGTATATTTAATTTTATACACTTGTCATGGTACTTATATATTTATATATATTTTTATAAATGCTTCAAAAATATTTTACACATAAACACGTTTATAATATGTTTTCGCACAAATAAAACATTTTTATGAATTTGATACAACAAGACAAAATGAGGAACCAAAAATAATTTAGGTGGTACCAAAATAAATTATTAGTTGTCCAAAGGTCATAAATGATACATTTTCTAGATTTGCTTAAAATGACTTGATGAAATCGTTGAAACTCAGTTATATCATGATTTTGATATTGCATTTAGAACGAGATACAGTTGAAAATCACTGCAAACTACGTGTATTATAAAATGTTATACTACACTTTGTAACATAGTAGGAATTTATACAACAACATAAAATAATATACATTTATAGCGATGATCGATTTTCCGATCGCAAACTAATATACACGTGCGGACTGGCATAGAGTTATTATAACTATAGCTCATATGTGACCGGAGGGCTTACGGTTTACTTGATTATAATTAGCAATACGTAACTGAACGAAGCATACCGACATTTTTACACAAATAACAAATTTTTGCAATACGTAAAACAAAAAAAGCTTCGTTGAGCAACAAAATATTGAAGTGATAAAACTCAAAAGTGACTCGACAGTTGAATCACTCAGAACTTATCACTAACGCGTTAGTAACTGATTAGTAACTAGTAGCGCCGTCTGTTATGTTCCATTGAATAACATTGGTAGTGACTCTACGGGGACTAGTTAATGATTTGCGTCAGTATTTAGTTTCAAATGAGTAGCTCCGTGTGTAGAAGGCCTAAATTTACGTAAACTGTATGATACACTAAATAGCAATATACGGGCGCTCGAGGCATTAGGAGAAAGACCGTATGACTGGGGTCCATTAATATCACATATCGTGTGTACGAAGTTGGAAAATGAAACGCGAAAAGACTGGGAAATGCAGACAGCTAAAGATAGAATACCATCGATTCGTGAATTAACACAGTTTATTGAGGAACAATTTCGGATATTAGAATCGGTCGAGTCTTCGCAAGATATAAATAACAAGGCGGCACCGGCAGCAGCAGTTAGAGGAAAAGAACAATCGAGAACAAATAATATCACGAAAGGTGGTCAAAAATATTCGGCGAATTTTGTGTCAACAACAACATTAAGGTGCTTTATATGTAATTTGGAACACACAATTTATAAGTGTCCAACATTCATCACACTGCCGATAAGCAAACGTATTGAGAAAATTGCTAGTCTAAAATTATGTAAAATATGTTTACGTAAACACGAGGGAAAATGTTTTTCGAGATTTTGTTTCAAATGTTCAAAACCTCATAACACATTATAACATCTACAGTCAAAAAAGGTCTCAGATTCGGAAGGTAGTGGAAAGGACGCCGAAACGGCTAAGAATAGACATGAACAGGTCGTAGACGCGACGAGTTCAACGACCGCGCACGCAAATAATAATTACGAGTGCGTATTGTTAGCCACAGCCGTCGTACGCGTTATCAATCCGTGCGGTAAGTCCTCGTTCGCACGCGTGTTATTGGATTCTGGTTCAATGAATAATTTTATATCGACTGAATTAGTAAATAGCTTAAGTTTACAGCAAAAGAAAATGGATCATGTAGTAAGCGGGATAGGAGGCACGACACAAAATATCACATCTACAGCATGGTTAAAAATAAAATCTTGCGTAAACGATTACGAATTAAACATACAAACATTAGTGGTAAAGAAGATAACGGGAAGTATACCGACAAACTTTATTTCCGAAAACGGCCCTCGACCAGGAAATATTATACTAGCCGATCCATTATTTAATGTAACACAAAAAATCGATATATTAATAGGTGCTGTTCATTTTTTCGAAATCTTAGGTAAACAACAATATTTGTCGTTTAACGGACCGAGTTATCAAGAAACAAAGTTCAGATTTGGGCGTCTTTAGATTGCGTCCCGTTTCAACCTTTTATATCTTGTCGATTGTTATTATTGATGTTGTATGTCGATTGGGGTGGATACTAGTTGCGTCCCTCAGTAAAAATTTCTTCCGAATTACGGCCCGAGTTTTTTTGGGGTGCATACGAATTGCGGCCCGAGTTTTTTTAACATATAAATTGTAGCCCGAAATTAATAATTAAATTAATTGAAATATGTAAATTAAAATTAAAAAACGCTTCATTTTCCTTCACATTTTTGTACAGACTTAGGACTGTCTGTAGTATCAGTAGATACTGCAGATAGGTTAAAAATGATGTTTTTTTTTTTTTTAAATGTTGACACTGGCAAAAACGTATGTAATATTTCTTAAGGTTAATAATGTTTTTTGACATTAAAATCTGATATTAAAATTATATTTATTAAAGTTAAAAATGTTAGTATAGTTTAGTAAAATCCGTAGATATTATGGCACTGGTAAAAACTTGTATGATAATATTTGTATAAATTCATGTTTGTCAATTTGGTTTTCTTCTAACCGTTTCATAGTATTTCTAATAAATGTTTCTTTTTCAATTATATTTGTTCTACGAGTATTTAAGTGAGTGCTTCTTAATTTTATATAAGTATCCTTTTGTATATTTTTCAGAACATCGATGAATACAAAAATATTAGGATGAGCACTGCAGAACAAAGCGTTGAATTTTGAATGAAATGCCTCACAACTATTAGTAGTGCGCATAGTAGACGCTGAGTATTCTGCCCATAAAAAAGGAGGGAAATTGGACTCATTTGAAATGTATGTTTCCAATATATAATCAACAAATATTTTTACTTTTTCATTTTTTGGATGAATAGCCATTAAGTTATCTGTAAAACAGTCACTCACATCGTTCGAATTCAAAAAACGGTAAGCCAAAAAAGTATTTTAAATATTTACCGATTTCGGTATTTTTTTTATACTCACTACTTCAGCCAATTGTCTGTATTTTTCTCCACCAACTTTGTGCTAAGTGAAATCGGCATCCTTTTAGACTTATAGAAGGCCAAACTTTTAATAGAGCTAAATGAATCGCCTTTTCAAAATCAGCAAAAACTGTTTTTGGTGAAAATGTTATGTTGAGTTTGCTACATTCAGATATAATGTGTATAAACGCATTTTCATATGTTTTAGTTTCTTTATTGGGAAGTATAAAAAATAAGAGTGGTAAATAATTACCATTTTGTAAACCATGAACTGTAAACATTTGGGAAAATAATTTCGGACAACTTTTAAAGGTCCCATCTACAAAAATTGTATCAATTTTATTTAAAAATTTTAAGTTAGTTTCAGTAGAAAATAATAAAATGTTTGATGTATTATCATTTACTAGTAAAAAATTTTCGTCACGATTTGTAATTATTAAATGACTCATATTATCTAGAGCGATATGTAATTCATTCAAGTCCACAGGTAACTTTGGCATAATAGATGATCGAGCATGGTGAATATTTTTTCTTATTAACGTTAAATCGTATGTTGTCAAAGTGTCTACGTCTTGTGTTAGGTGGCTATGAATAATTTTACTTGGCTTCTCATTAATATCTTCAACAGCTTTACGTTTCACTTGATTACTTACAGTCTGTCTGTTTAATGTTTCATCACTAACTTTTTTATGATTTTCATGATTTAAAACTTTTTTAATAATTACGTTATTATTTAAATGAATATATGCTTTACAGTTCTTTTTAAAACAGCAATATCGATCAACATTATTTTTTAAATTTTTATGAAAACGAAATTTATATCCATCAATTAAAAATAAAGTGCGATTTTTTTGCACTCAACATTTCACTCAAAATTGTATTCGAAATTATAAATAAATCAAAATAGAAAAGCGACGAAACGTTCTTAGCGTTAGTAAAGCGACGACTAAGGTATACTTATTGGTATCTACATTATACTGTGATTATGTTTTATCAGTCAAGATTAAATTATCTAAAATTAAAAAAACCCGGGCTGCAATTCGTCTGTACCCAAAATAAACTCGGGCCGCAATTCGGATTAGACCTTTTTTCATAGATATCTTCGGGACGCAACTAGTATGCAGCCATCGATTGCGTCCACAAGTCGAATAGGTAAATTATTTTTTATTACCTTTTTATGTTCCGATTGCGTCCTGTTGTATGATATATAAGCATAACATTTTGTAAAACTATGTATTATTTTAATAATAATAATAATTATACAAAAACCAATAAAAATAAATCCAAATATATAAGAATAAATAATTTAAAAAATATATTTCTTGTTAGTACAGTAAAACCTCGATAAGACAGAATCGCATGGGACCATGAAATTTTTCCGTGTTAACGAGGTTTACGTTTTGACGAGGTTAAAAAAATTGAATTAAATTAAAGATTACATATGTACATATTTATTTTAAACCAGTTTATACATAATACATACATACAATTTATATTTTTAACTTAATTTTATATTTATATTTATTTATTACATATTTATTTTTAGCCAGTATACATTAATAATACATAATTATATTTTTTGAAAAAAATCAGTTATTGTTTTTTGTTTTTTATTTTGTAAGGCGTCGCGTTCCACACACTCCTTGGCTTTAGAAGTCAAATCCAAAAGCCTACTATTGGACACTGTGAGGGAAAATTTTTGTAGTTCCTCGAGGTAGTAGTTAGCAGTTTTATAATCTTTTACCAGATTTTTTGGTTCTTCTTGGCTTTCATCATTGTCTCCGTCCTTTTCACATTTATTCTCAATCATGGATATAGCCGAATCATGGGTTTGCTGCGTCTCAAGTTGGTCATCAATGTGAAGAAATTCTTCTTGGTCAAAATCAAGTGCAACAAAGATTTCTTGAATTTCACTCAGGGTATTCTCATTGGGATTCACGTCCAATCCATCAATTAAAAATCCAGCTTTACGGAAACAGTTTTGATCAAATTCAATTTTCAAACTATTGCACGATAAAGATATCCAATTTACAGCGTCTAATACAGTTATCGAAGTAGCAAGCTGATGAACCGAAGTAAAATTATCAATTTTGCATACAAGTGACTGTAGCATAAATTTACGATAGTACGACTTAAAGGTGTAAATAACTCCTTGGTCCATTGGTTGAGATACTGACGTGGTATTTGGGGGTAACATGTGAATTTTCACATTAGACATTCAATGTAAGGATGGCATGTCGCATTGTCTAAAAATAATAAAATATTTCTGTTCTGTGATCGCATGTCTGCATTGAAATATTGCAGCCACTGTTCCATTATTTCAGCCGTCATCCATGCCTTCTTGTTAAATTTCCAAGTCACAGGTAATAAAGCAATATTCATATTTTTAAAACAATGAGGTTTCAACGATTTTCCTATAACAAGAGGCTTCCTGATTTCACCTGCCATACCCCCACACATCAATACAGTTAACCTATCCTTAGATTTTTTACCACCAACACACGCATCGCCCTTTATTACTAAAGACTTGGTAGGGATTCCTTTGAAAAAAAACACCGGTTTCGTCGGCATTGTAAATGTCTTTAGCTTCATACCCTTTGATGAGAACTGAGAGTTTGCGTTTCCAATTTTCAACTGTATCTTGATTTACATCATTTGCTTCCCCATTTATTTGTTTGCAGATGATATTGTGCCATCGTTTGAACCGGTCAAGCCAACCATTTGAAGCTTTAAAATCACTGATTCCGAGGTTTTCTGCCAATTTAGTGGCCTCTGTTTGTAGAATAGGTCCGGAGATGGGCAAACTTTTCAACCGAGAATTGATGAACCACTTGTATAAATCTCGTTCAACTTGTTCAAATCCCACCGACACCATTCTTTTACTTTTACCAGAATTTTTACAACTGCTCCATTAATTTGTCTTTATTTTTTATTGCCTCATAAACTTGCGTTTTTCCACACTTAAATTTTACCAAGAGTTCCTTCACTGAAAGATTCTCATGCTGCTTTAACTCGATTAGTTTTACTTTATCCGAAAGCGTAAGAGTTGTTTTCTTCGACATTTTAAATGATAGACGGAAAACGCAACAACACGAACGTAACGATGTACGATTAGATACTGAATCAAGTAACTCAGATAATAATATTGTATTGTGTGTACATATCAATTTTATTAGTTTTTAATATCAATGTGCGAGCTCGTATATTGATTATCTATGGGTATCCACAATACGAAAATAAATTTATCATACAAAAATCATGTTATATTTCCGTCTTAGTGAGGGTTTTCATCAACTTTCATTATAAAAACGTGTCTATTTCCGGCTTGGCGAGGTTTCCGTTTTAGCGGGATAAAATTATATGTAATTTAAAACAGTACCAAAAAAATTTTCCGTAATACCGGGGTTTTCGTCTTACCGAAGGTCCGTCTTAGCGAGGTTTTACTGTATTATAAAATAATATTAATACAAAAATCAATAAAAATAAATCCAAATATATAAGAATAAATAATTTAAATAATATATTTCTAGTTGGTTGTTATATTATAATATTAATACAAAAATCTACGAAAATTACATCCTTTTATTTTTATTAATGGCCAAACTTTATTAGCTGCTCTATGAATAGAAGATTCAAAATCAACGTGAATTACTTCAGGTTTAAAATTTAAATCAATTTTTGAACATTCGTTAATTAAGCCTCTAAATGCATTTTCATAAGCGTTACATTCTTTACTATTAAGTAAAAAAAAGGCAAGGGGGATATAATACTCATTCAACATACCAGGAATAGTAAATAGCTGTAAGTAATATTTTGTACTACATCGAAATGTACCGTCCACGAATATCTCTTTTACTAAGTTTAATGCTTTTAAGTTACTAGTACACGAAAACATGATAATATTATTTATTTTATCATTAATTAGTAAAAATGGTTCACCTTGAATAGTTTTAATGTTTAACAATTCGATTGTTTCATATACTTCTTTTATATTTTTTGGTAGAGTTGGTAAAATCTTTCTTCTGGCCATATAAATTCCTCTACGTATACATGAAATATCAGTTGTCAAACTATCGACTCCTTAAAAAAAAAAAAAAATTAATAAAATTTGACTCAAATAAATGTTTTTATACTATATACTATATATAATTTATATTATATTTAATAAATAGTTAATTTAGTATAAATTATACTAATATATAATGTAAAAATTTCTATTCTGCTTACCGTCTCTGTTTATTTGACTATGTATCAACGTTGCTGGCCTTAAAGTGATATCCTCAGTTGCTTTTTGCTTTAAATTATTTCGAATATTTTGTATCTTTAATAATTCAGAGGAATCCGGCTCGTGACAATTATTTGTTAGGTTACTTTCATTTTCTAATAACAGTGATCCACTTCTTTTAAAATAACATTTGCATTTTTTATTTATGCAACTCCAACGCTCGACATCATTGGCCAACATTTTGTGAAAACGATATTTAAACTTATCAATAATACGGATTTCCTTATTTTTTTTCACTAAAAATGGTATTCATTATTAAGTCTAAACTTTTAAGTATTTTTCGATTCAAAGGCACTTGACGTACTAAATCGCTACGTGATCGTAAATCGATAAAAGCCTTAAGATAAAATGTTCGTAAACTCATTAAGTAAAAACCAATTCGTGTTTAAATATACCTCCACATCATGTATGACAAAAATGTTAGATTTAATATGTCAATTTATCTGTCACATTAACGCTAACCTACAATACAATAGGACGCAATCGGAACACGGAATACGTGGGCAAAAAATCTTTTACCTGCAACTGGGACGCAATCGACAAACTCCGTCGGATTTTTTGCGTCAGGGTCGGTACAAGGTTCGTTGTGCAATAAAAAATCTGTTACACATATATCCACCAACATGGAAAATGACGAATATAGCGATGTAGAAAAGTTAATTAAACAATTTTGGCAGGCTGAAGAAGACATAGGACCGACACCATTTACCATCGAAGAAAAGACGTGCACTGAACATTTCAATAATACCGTACGACGGGAAGAAGGAGGTCGTTTTGTAGTACAATTACCATTTCGAAAAAATCGGTCGAAATTAGGGAAGTCGTACGCAATAGCTAAGCGTAGACTCTTATCGGTCGAATGTCGACTTCGACAAGAATCCAGCATAAAAATGTGAATACGTCAAATTTATGCAGGAATATGAAAGTTTGAGTCATATGACATATGTTAGTAACGAGGAAATCGATATACCTGAAAAAATGTGCTACCTCGCACATCATTGTGTCCTGAATTTAAATAGTACTACGAAATTACGGGTCGTATTCGACGCTTCCACAAAGACGGAAACCGGAGTAAGTCTAAATGACGTCCTTTTAAAGGGACCAGTTATACAGGGCGATCTTATATATATTTTAGCTAGATTTCGAGTACATAATTATGTAATTTCTGCCGATATACGAAAAATGTACCGTCAAATTAATGTTTCAAAGGGACATCAAGATTTCCAACGTATTTTATGGCACGAAAATAGTAACTCTCCGATTAAAATATTTAAATTGAATACAATGACGTACGGTATGGTACCTGCGTCATATTTGGCAACTGCTTGTCTAAAAAAACTGGCCGAAGATGAATACAAATATAATACGGAGATTTCCATGGCTATTTAACGCAATTTCTACATGGACGATTTTTTTAGAGGGGCACCAACCAAAGAAGAGGCAATCAGATCGGAAACAGATAGTTTTCATTTTAAAATTAATTTAGACAAAGATAAGCAAACTGCGTCGGTGACTAAACGCGATATATTATCGGATATTGCACGGATTTTTGATCCGCTTGGTCTAGTAGGACCCGTCGTAATTCGCGCGAAATTAATGCTGCAAATTTTGTGGCAAACACAGGTAAAATGGTGTGAACCTGTTTCCGATAATACAAAATGCAAGTGGAACAAGTGGGTATAAGACAAATTTACTAAAGCTAAACGATGTAAGAATACCTCGTTAGATTACGATAAAAGAGGAAATATGTGATATGCAAATCCATGGCTTCGCAGATGCTAGCGAAGACATATGGTTGTTGTCTATACTTAAGGTGCTCTGACAATGCCGGGAATCATTTTTCAAATCTTATATGCGCTAAATCTAAAGTTGCTCCAATAAAGACAATATCTTTACCGCGCTTGAAGTTATGCGCCACGCAATTTTTGACGCGCTTGGCATATAAATTATATCAAAGATGCAACTTAAATTATCAAAACATCATTATTGGACCGATTCCAAAGTCTCTTTATGTTGGATAAAGTCTACTTCAAAAAAGTGGAAAACCTTTGTATCACATCGGGTTGGCGAGATTCAAGAAAAGACCTCGTTAACTGAGTGGTTTCATGTGAAAAGCAACGAAAATCCTGCGGACATTATATCACGTGGTTGCTGTTCTACCGAACTATCTCGTTATACTCTTTGATGTCATGGTCCCGAGTGGTTAATCCAGAATGAAAAACATTGGCCGATTATCCAACAGGAAGAGATATCAAACGAGTTTGTGGATATGCCGGAGCAAAAAGGTTTAACTACATCGGAGAATGATTTGATTATTCACAGATATTCATCCATAAAAAAAGATGTCGTGAATTGTTGCATATTGTATGCGTTTTAAGTCAAACTGTTTAAGTCGTAAGCAAAATAATGAAAGAAAAAATGGTTGTTTGCTACCTTACGAAATAAAGCAAGTAAAAACAATAATGGTAAAAATAGTGCAAAATCATTACTTTTATCGAAAAGTAAAGCAACTACAAACCGATAATCAAGTATCAAAAAAGAGTCCTCTTTATAGATTAATACCATATCTTGACGAAAAGATACCCTCTTTGGAATTCGCGTAGGGAGAAGATTGAAATATGCAGCATCCATAAGCACTTTTAGGCGTCATCCTGCAGTGTTACCAGCTAAAAGTATCTTTACTCAAAACTTAATACGTGAAGAGCGTGAAGATCTGATGCATGGTGGTCTTCAAGCGGTTTTAGCGTTCATACGTGAAAAGTATTGGCCTATAAATGGACGAAATGTCACACGAAACGTGGTGCGTAAATGCGTCATTTTTTATAAACAATGCCCAGCCATCGTACAGCCTATAATGGGTGATCTGCAGAAAGACAGAGTTGAACCAAGTCGCGCTTTTCTCAAATTTGGTATCGACTATGCCGGTCCTTTTTTATTAAAATCGGGACTACGAAAAAACTCTCCAATAATAAAGTCTTATGTTTGTTTATTCGTTTGTTTCTCCTCGAGCGCTGTACATTTGGAACTTGTGAGCGATTTAAGTACTGACGCCTTTCTACACGCACTTAATCATTTTTTTGACTGACGCGGTCGAAGTTTAGTTTTATATGCTGAGAATGAAACAAATTTTGTAGGCGCAAATCATCAGCTAAAAGAACTATACGAACTATTACAAGGAGATGATCATCAAATTAAAACTACCACTGCGTTCACCCCATTTCGGAGGTTTATGAAAGGCCGGAATAAAATCCATGAAGTATTTGTTGCATCGCGTACTGGGCGATGCTCACCTCACGTATGAAGAGTTATTAACTATACTTACACGTGCCGAAGCCTGCCTAAATAGCCGTCCTTTAACTCCTATTTCGTAGGATCCAAATGTTTGATTCCTTTACTTCCCAGCCACTTCCTCATAAGATATTCTCTAAATGCTATACCAGAAATCGACGAGACATCTGTGCCAATCCACCGTCTAAATAGATGGCGCCAAGTATCCAAATACTCTCAAAACCTATGGAAACGATGGAGTAGTGAATACTTATGTAACGTACTTTTATAACTACTTACCCACCCACAGTGGGCCAGAATTC